AACCAAGGGACACTATAGATAAGGCCTTGGGAACGGGAAGAAGAGGGCAAGGCTGGGAAAAAACCCTCGCTTTTTTTTTTTTTTTTGGCGCAAAAAATCTTTTTTTTTCCAATTTTTGGGGGTTTTTTTTTTTTTTTGGGGGGGGGGCGGGGGGGGGGGGGGGTTTACAAAAAAAAAAAAAAAAAAAATTTTTTTTTTTTTTTTTTTTTTTCTTTATCATTTCGTTTTTTTTGTATTTTTTTGGATAGTGGGCCTGGAGACGTTGGGGAAAGAATATAAGGGTTCTAAGATATAATGAATCACAACGCGCAAACTAACGGAAAACAATTGCAAGACTTTTGCAAGTATGATGGCATTGAAGAATGCGATCGCATGTAACGCGTAATCACATTCACTCACGCTCTCACTTATACCTGTAAACACCTAGCACACACGCGTACACATACACACGCACACATGCATACACAGGCACACACACATAGAGAGAGAGTGAGTGAGAGAGCCACGCATACACGTACGCACGTATGCATACAAATAATGAATACTTACCTTGCAAATAACCAGTGCGTGATTGTCTATACCTCTTATAATCTATTATTTACTTAAAATACCACAACTATTTTATTGCCTTTTGGCCAGTTGATTTATATTCATCTCGGATCACTCGCTAAAACAAATTTGTTTGCGACATGAATATTAAGAGGCAGCGCACTTTTGCAACGGGAACTCTCAAATACTCGTTGAAACGTGATGGAGTTCCCCGTAGAGTTTACTGCGAATGAGCCAACAGCGTGTGTGTGTGTGTGTGTGTGTGTGTGTGTGTGTGTGTGTGTGTGTGTGTGTGTGTGTGTGTGTGTGTGTGTGTGTGTGTGTGTGTGTGTGTGTGTGTGTGTGTGTGTGTGTGCATGTGAGTATGCATATATATACATACATAGTACACACACACACACACACACACACACATACACACACACACACACACACACACACACCACACACACACACACATATATATATATATATATATATATATATATATATGGTAATTTTCTATATTACCTTCGCCACACCGATATCGACGATTTTGGCATCGTTGGATTCCTCTCACTCTCCACATTCCAAATAAGTAGGTTTTATTGCGCGGAAACCCCCCCGTTAGCGAGAAACTTGGCCCCGATTGGAAGGTTCTAGAGAAAATCGAGGTTAAATAACACTAATAATATAACCCACAGTGAAAATAACCATGGTTATTCATATAACTTTCCATTGCAGGGGGCTGTGCCCCCTGCGACCCCCCCTGGGGGGGGCTGCCGCCGCCGAGGAAACAAAACCTCCACCACGTATTCCCGGCAGGCTAGAGCGTTACACAATTCTCGTCGATCGCGGAGCGGCGGACGTATTTACCTCGTCGCCCCCGATATAGTGCCCAAGTTTGCCGCTAACAAGGGGTTTCCGCGCAATAAAACCTACATATTTGGACTGTACAGAGTGAGAGGAATCCAACGATACCATAATCGTCAAAATTACTATATTACGTCCGCTGCTCCGACCGCCGCTCCGACATCGTCGCCCCCGATATAGTGCCCAAGTTTGCCGCTAACAAGGGGTTTCCGCGCAATAAAACCTACATATTTGGACTGTACAGAGTGAGAGGAATCCAACGATACCAAAATCGTCAAAATTACTATATTACGTCCGCTGCTCCGACCGCCGCTCCGACATCGTCGCCCCCGATATAGTGCCCAAGTTTGCCGCTAACAAGGGGTTTCCGCGCAATAAAACCTACATATTTGGATTGTACAGAGTGAGAGGAATCCAACGATACCAAAATTGTCGATATCGGTGTGGCGAAGGTAATATCGAAAATTGCCATATATATATATATATATATATATATATATATATATATATATATATATATATATATATATATATATATATATATATATATATGTGTATGTAAGTATGTATATATGCAATATGCACACATATAGGTGTGTGTGTGTGTGTGTGTTGTTGTGTGTATGTGTGTGTGTGTGTGTGTGTGTGTGTGTGTGTGTGTGTGTGTGTGTGTGTGTGTGTGTGTGTGTGTGTGTGTGTATGTATATATATAATATATTATATATATATATATATATATATATATATATATATATATATATATACATACATACACATACATACACGCACACACATGTGTGTGTGTGTTTGTGTGTATGTGTGTATTTGTATTTGTGTCTGTGTGATGGGTTTAGTTTACATTCAATGTTCGGGATCATCATTAATTTTCTTTATACTCCTAGAATACTTTAGCTTTCCGGTTTTGTCTTTGAGAATCAGATGATGTGAAGAAACAAATTTACAGCCTTTTTTAATTTCTTACAGGAACGACCCCGTAATAATCATGATAGGTCACCATAAATTACAATAGCTGGAAATACAATTCACTGTAGGTCACAGTGATGATGGCGCAGTGGTTGGACTGGAACTCAGTTCCTCCCCGATTCTCAGTGATGTAGATAGCCCTCGTTTTCTGTGGTATGCCAAAATAGAAAACGTACTTTCACCACACAAACTAATATATTTTATATATCACGGTCTACCAGTGCTACTGAAGTTTATCAGCATATATCGGACTATTTTTTCTATATTCATTTTAAATTTATTGTGTCCAAAATAGTGTTAGGGTATATAAAATGCTGATAAATCTTCACCAATTTACTTTGCAAAAATATAAATACATATTCAAAGGAAAAACATATATCCTAATTATGTTGAACTTATGCTGTCGGGCATATTCTGAAACGAGTTCTTCTTCGTTTTGATTAGATTCACCCTTGAAAGCATAGGAAATACAGGATGTTTAGATAAATTTTCAATTCGTCTGTCATTCTCATGATTTTATCATAAGATTATGTATACACCCGAACTCTTTTTGTTTATATATATTATATTTACACACACACACACACACACACCACACACACACACACACACACACACACACACACACACACACACACACACAACACACATACTATATTATATATATAATATATATATATATATATATATATATATATATATTATATATATATATAGTATATATATAATATTATATATATATATGAGAGAGAG